AACCTTTCTAAGGGTTGAACAAGCCATACCGGATATACACCTTCGTTGATCCTGAGGCTCCTGAGAACCAGCAGGCAATTAATATAGCCTTTGCTACTCAGGCAGCCCTTGATATCTGGTATAAATTACAAAAATTAGAAGGTTTTGCAGGAATGAACCTGTCCCAACTTGTTGAAATAGCCCAGAAGGTGTTCAACAACAGGGAGGCACCAGATGACCCCAAACATATGGCTAAAATCCAAAGCTACTGTCTTCAACCCAGCCAATCTGCTGCCAGATCCAGATCCCAAGAACCCCATTCATGACTGCACAGAGTTCACTGATGCTGTGTGTTCCTCGTGGCCAGACCTCAAAGACTCCCCTCTGCCTGAGGCCAATGAAGTTCTGTTCACGGACTGGAGCAGCTTCATGCAGGAAGGAAGGAGGTATGCTGGGGCAGTGGTCGTAACTCTAACTGGCACCATCTGGTCACAGCTCTTCCTCCTTGAAGCCGTATAGATGCCTAAGACTCTTGCTATTGTTCTTTGTAAAGGGCATCAAAAAAGGAATAGTCCTGAGGCTGAGGGAAACTGACGAGCCAATGCAGAGACAAGAACAGTGGCCACAAGGCCAGTGGGACCCCACCACATCTACTGACTGTTGTACCTTACCCAGAACTGCCTCCGTCTCTGACCTATATGGCAAAAGAAAACATTTTCAAGATAAGGGAGCCACTAGGAACCAACAGAGGTGGTGGACAACCCCAGATGGAAAAATCAGGCTCTCATGGGCCCTTGGAAGGACTCTCCTACACCATCTCCACCAGACCACACACCTAGGGTGAACTAAGATGCTCCAAGCTTTAGACCCCTACTTTCACTTGTTAGAAGGGAGAAGAACCTCAGAGGAGATTGCCTCACGATGCCTAGCTTGTGCCCAACTTAATCCAAAGAAGGGGAAGATAGAAGAATCTAGACACAGAGAAAGAGGAATCTATCCGGGGAACCACTGGGAAGTCGATTTCACTGAGGTAACCCCGCCCAGATTCGAATTCCCCCAATTCGAATCTGGTGTGAGGGGCTACAAATATTTACTTGTTTTTATAGACACCTTTTCAGGATAGATAGAGGCCTTCCCCACCAGGAAAGAAACTCTGTATATTAATGGATTCACCCCATTTGAAATTTTCTTTGGAAAACCCCCACCTTTAGTACCTAGAATAGAAGATGAGAAAAAGGCAGAACTACGTAACCTTGTCTTACTTAAGTCTTTACAGGTCCTTCAAAGTGTACAGAAGGAGATTTAGTCCTGGGTTTGTGCTGCCACTCAACCCCAGGGGACGGACTTCCCCATTAGTTTCAGCCCGGGGACTCTGCGTGGATCCGGAAGTTCACTTCCAAGGGACTAGAACCCAAATGGAAAGGACCCTTCACTGTCTACCTGACGACACCCACTGCAGTTAAAGTAGACGGCATCCCATCATGGATTCATCACTCCCACATGAAGGCAGCTCGAGAGTGGACAGCTCAGGAAGACGGGCCCTTAAGACTAAGACTCAGGCATACATAAGTCTAACCCTCTGTTTCTTCCTTTTTTCCTCTTTAGCTCAGGCATTTGACCAGCTGCAACCAAAACCAGAAAGAGCATTAATAACTTTGCTAACGGCAATACACAAGGTCTTAAATAAGACCATCCCAGACATAGGACAAGATTGCTGGTTGTGCCTAAACTCAAAACCCCCTTACTATGTCAGGGTAGGAACTCCCCTAAACTTAACTGAGCTCAGCAGGCTAGAACTTCAAGTAGATTCACTAGCAGGAGTAGTCCTCCAAAATAGAAGAGGTTTAGATTTATTATTCTTTGAACCAGATAGATTATGCATGGCTCTAGGTGAAACCTGTTGCTTCTATGCCAATAACTGGAATAATTAGAGAAAGTTTACTACTAGTACAGAGAAATTTAGATGCCAGGGAAAAAGAGAGATTAGAATCAAATAACTGGTTTCATAGGATGTTCAATTGGTCGCCATGGCTAAAATCCCTCCTATCTGCTGTAGCTGGACCTTTAATCATCCTCCTTCTCTTGTTAACTTTTGGCCTATGTTTCTTTAATTTCTTGTTTGCATATATAAGGAAGAGAATTAATTCTATTAAACTTTTAATATTACAAAATACTTAAGAGGCTATGAGCAAATTCTGCATGAAGAATCAAGGATTTGATTTTTGCTAAGGCCAGTGGGGAATGTGCTGGCTGGAAAATTACTGCTTGGCTATCGCCCATGGGAACATAGGTTATCACCCATGAGAACATAACATTCTAACAATAAGCTTTCTGCTTCTGTACCCCCGCTTGCACAACCGACCTATGGGTTGACAGTTAGTAAATAGAAGAAAAATAGACTTTTGTGTTCAGATAGAATGAGGAATGGGGTTTAGGGCTTAAAAACCCTGTACCTCTACATTTCGGGGCTGCTTAATTTGGGGTCTGTGTACCCCTGGCAGACCCAGCTGGCTGAATAAAGAGTGTGTCTCCTATAACTCACTGTTTTCCAGTGGTCTGTGTGTCTATTCGGGGCTGGCGGCTACAACAGCATCAATCAATCAATTCAAATACTGAAAGAAATATAGAATGTGAGATTTGTAGGTGGAGGTTATAACCTATAGAGAATCAAGGATAAAGATTACAGAGGGCTTCTTAACAGATACCATGCAAACAAAATGAGAGTATAGTAAAATAGTTGAAATGATGAAAGAAAAAAACCAAAAACAACCTGGAATTCACTATCTAGCAAAATTATCCTTCAAGAGTGAAAGAGAAATAGACTTTCCATATCTTGAGTTTAAACTCCATGATAAAAGAAACAAGTCAACGTGGTCCAATAAAACCCAAGTGTATAAAACTGAACTGTTAAAAAAAAAAACAAAAACAAAAACCCAGAGGCTCTAAATGGTGTCAGTCATGCTAAAAGCTCATTATAGCAAACCTAGATTTAATACATGATAAAATTGCAGTTTCAACCTCTTGCAAAAACATAATCTTACTCCACCAGTATTGAATTTTCCGGCCAAGCACCAGTGAAGTAATCAGTCACAGGGACCCTCCCAATCTCCTACAGAAAGAAGAGGCAATCTGCATGATAAAAACTTTTCTCATTGTCTTCCCCCAAAGAAAAGATATCTGGGTCCAAGAAGAATCCTTTCTTTTGTTTGTTTGTTTTCCTGCTTGCTTGTTTGTTTTGTTAATGACTGCCTTGTCCTACCCTTCTTCCTATAAATATTTTCCATTTTGTATAATCCCTATGAATGGCTTTCTAGTTGCTACATATAATAACCTAATGTGCTTAATAAAGCCAATTAGATCTTCAAATTTACTCAGTTGAATTTTGTTTTCTAACAGTATCTAATGCATCAATTGATCTAAAAATGCTTATGGAGGAAGGAGGCAGGCTAGGTGGGAAGAAAGGAAAGAAGGAGGGAAGGAAGGAAGGAAAGATGAAGGGAGGAAAGAAGGTAATGAAAATTACCTTCTTTTTTGTTTATTTGTTTATGATGTTAATTATCTTTGAACATGAATAGAATAGAAAATAGTAAATTAGAAAATAGTAAAAAGTAAAAAATAAGAGACGTTTTCTTAAGAACAAACCTTGAAAAATGTCAGTATTTAATCATTAAGTGGAAATAGAGCTATAGAGAGTAGGATACAAAGGAAGCTACAGAGGTCACAGTCTCAAGAACTACTAACCGAAGTATAAATTTAAGAAAAACATCAAAATTGACTGTAGAAAATGGTTTCATTCGCCTTATGCTACAATACTAAAGTTAGTTTAGGAGTACTACATCTGTGAATAAGTACATATATGCTCTGAGCCAGAAAAACTAGACCCTTGGAAGGACACTGTGCTTGAGATTAATAGGTTTACAAAACTGTTATAAAACAAGGTTTAAAAAAAAAAATGGCTTCAAAATCTACCTTTCTATCCTAAAATTAATTTAAATTGAAGCTAAAACAGTGGTCTATATGTCAATAAGCTCTGCTGAGAGAGTGGATGCCTATTTGACCCTGCAATTGGAAAACTGAACTTTTGGTCAACAATGAGTTGGGGAAAAAAGCAGAGACCTCTGTTCTGAGATGAAATACTGAAGGGTAGGGAGAGTGTCCTCTGGCTAGTGTCACACTAACTATATCCAAAGGCAAAAGACTCTTATGAAGAAATGTTTTCCAGCATAGAGTTATAGCACTTATAAATATTTAAATCAAAATGTGGATTTGCAAAGATCACCTGGCATTACAGAAAGCAATCCACTATAAGTGAAATTCAACTAGAGACAGAAATAATATATGTAAAACATCAAAGTGTGAGCATGTTAGAATTAAGATATATAGACTATAGAAGATATATGTAAAATTTTTGAAAAAATAAAACAAGCAGTAAAAAGTCTTCCTACAAAAAATGATCAGGAATTAAATGGTATCATCTTAAAATGAATTTTCTATAAATAAAGTATGAGTCAATATACTGTCGGTTAAACAGCATATTAAAATGAACTAAAACAAGAAAGAGCAAAACAAATAAAAATGTGTCCAAAGAGAATTGTCAAAAGGCATAGAGATACAAAACATGAAGAGATAATAAAACATATGAAGGACAAAATGAGAATATTTAATGGATAAAATCAGCATCTCACATGTGAAGAGTAGAAGGAAGGAGACAGTATAATATTTAAAAAGATAACGTTTGGGTTTCATACTATATTTAAAATAAGATTAATAAAGTAGAACCCAAGCTTGGACACACCCAGTAAAATTATAAATCATCAAAGACGAAAAACAAATACTAAAAGTATCTAGAGAGAAGAGAGATTAGGCAAAAGGAATAAAAATTAAAATTGCAGCAAAGATGGATGACCGAAACAAGAAAATAATGTCATTAAAATGTTAAGTGAAAATAAGTATTAATCTATAATCTGTACCCTAAAATATTGTATTAGATATTCTCGTTTTAATGCTCTGATTTTACTCACATTTCACATGCTCGGCTCTCCAGGAAACTTGTGATAAGCATCCACTAGTTCTCTTGGACTGTTTTGTTTCAGCCACTGAGGAGTCATCAGCTGGAGATCAGAGGATGACAGAACAGAAATTAAGATAATTATTTCTGAAGATTTCTCTCTATGGGTCTTTAGGTTGTGAGGGTTCCTCTTTCAAAGTCCCCAAATCATTTGCGTTGGTCCTTTTCTACAACTATAGTTGTTAATAGTTCCAATATCACTGCCACATCTAACTCTTCAGACCTCGAGGTGGAACTTCTCCTTGCTGTTGTTAACCCCAAGGTGCTTCATTATCCCTGGTTTATTTTTATTATCCCTTGACACATGGTCTGTTATGTATTTTTCCATTTGAGTGTACATTCTGTTTCTATCTTAAGAATCTAAATTATATTATGTTTCAAGATTTAAATAGCAACAGAGTAGGATAAACAGAATTTACTTCTAGAAAACATCATAAGAGAATATCTAGAGGAAAAATATCAGGAAGAAGGAAAAATTGGGATAAAAGAAAAATAATACACAAATACATTTAAAAACTTTTGTAAATCTTCCGAATATAGCCTAATGTCTGTAACAACACACTAATAATATTAACAAGAACACTCCCTGGGAGGATAAATTAATTCATATGCCAACCTAATATATTAAGGTATTTGTGTTATCAAACTCTGGTTTATGTGTCCAATGCCTCAAAAGGCCAAATCTCGAAACGTCAGCATTCGGAGTAAAGAAAGGTTTATTGATCAAGAAGTTGCCAACGGAGAAGATGGGAGACTTAGCAATGCCTCAGATCCATCTTATCCACTGGACTAAGTTAAGAGTTTTTAATCTGGAGAAGGGGGTGTGAGGGGAAGTTAAGATAAATTCCTGTGGTCTTCGGTCTCTTGATAAAGTCTCAAAAAGTAGACTCTAAAATGTAATCGAAGGGTCACATGTCAGAGATGGTCTTGAGTCACCATTGTTTTCTGCAAAGTAAGCTTGTAAATTATTGTCCTGTGGCCATTCCTTTCTATGAAGCAGCAGAAACATTGTTTTGAGACATTTATGGTTTTCTCAAAAGTGTTGTTTGCCAGTAGGTCACAAGTTACTGACTCAGGAACCAGTCACAGTCACACTGATCCCCACAGTTTAAACATTATGTAACCTATTGATAAGGTTAATACAGTTTTGTTAGGGGAAAAGCAGAAGATTTAACTTATAGAGATGAGCAGAGAGCCTGCTTTGTGTGGTACGGTTACATATGGATGAAGGTGATCATAGTTAAAATATTCTAACATATTTTTATCATTGAGTAGAGAGGTTTAAATGTCAATTTTGTTAATTTACACATGGCAAAATGCTGAGTTTATTATTAGATATACTATGTACAAATTATAAACTGTAGATATAAATAAACATGGAATAACAAAAAATGAACAAGATTCAATAATCTAAAAAAAAATGAAAAGAGAAAAAATAAGTATAAAGGATGAAAAAAAGCCAGTCACAAAAAGACGAACTGCGTAATTCCACTCATATAAAGTATCTAAATTTGTCAAATTCATAGAATCAAAGAGTAAAATGGTTGTTGCCCCAGATTGGGGGAGTAGAAATGCAAAGTTATTAATCAACAGACAAAAGTTTCAGCTAAGCAAGATGAGTATGTTTTAGATATTGGTTGTATGATATTATATCTATAATCAGCAATATTGTGTTGTACACCTAAAATTTCATAAAAACATGGATCTCAGGCTATGTTCTTACCATGATAAAATCAATTCTAAAAAGTTACATAATATATAAATAGTTATAAGAGAAAATAAAAATGATTTTAAAAACCCACTTTATGTTAATGGAAATAAAATAGAACTTAAAAATACCAGTTATAAATACTATGAAGTGAGTCACTTATGGAAAAGTGACACAGAGAGGGTGGGACATGTTACTTTTTTTTTCTGACAACAGTGAACAAAGTCAGAAACTAAAAATAATAAAAGAACTGTAATACACATAGAAGGCTCCTTTTGGACAAGAGATATCATAGTTATAAAGAGACGGTCAGGAATTTATGGAGTGTAGTTATGGATTCAGTCGAATGGGTGAATATACCTAAGAGGGATATAGCTCTCATAATATAGATATTATGTCCTCAACAACCTTACTTTCAGGGTCCTCTTTATTTTTCCGGAAAACTAATTTGAACACAAGAAACCTCCATATTGAGCCCGCTGAAAAGGTGTTGGTCTCCATTTCGTCGGACATTCAGCAAAGGGATAGTATATCCATGTCAGTGGAAGCAAGCACAGAGAAGACGTGATTCTTAGAAAGCCTCACTACTAAATGTTAAATAAAATAAACGTTCCACAAACCTTGGCGAACACTGATGTTTAACCTAGCATCACGCAGTAACCACCTTGCAGGCTCAGCTTTAGAGTTAACGCAGAGACTCCAAAGGTAGAAAAACAAGGAAAGATGCCTAGACTCACACTGTGGGACTCATAACACACATACATTATATTTCACATATCACAGCTGGAAACCTTTAAACAATTCAAAAAGAGTGACTATCCTTTACTGATAGAAATGAAAACCTAAGAAGATAGACTATTTTTGAGCATTTTCTCTATGTATTAGATTGCTAATATAACCAAAGACATAACTACAAATTCAGGCAGTACTTATTTTAAAGTTTGTTATCATCCGATTCTTGTCAAGTAAAAAAAAAAAAAAAGTCATGCTTATGTAGATCATGCAGTTAAGTCAAAATTCTATATGGCAGAAACATTAAATTGTTTCTACTTATACTTTTTCCTTATTATTTCCCTTATTTATTATGATTGCCTTATTCCAAAAAGAATTTGAGGCAGCAACGTGTTGCTTAGTCACTACTATTTTAAGTTATGAATGATAATTTAGCTGCTGAGGTACTTATAGTAATAGCAAATCAAGAAATGAATAGTAAAGATTTTCTAACATATATGCACCAATAAAAAATTGTTTGTAATCCACTTGAATTAAAAAAATAAAATGAACACTTGTAAAGAGAAAAAAAATTCTATTGTTATCATCTTAGAAACAATGATTGTGGTTTTCTAAATATCTCCTTTATATATATATTAATAAAATTGAATTAAAATTATATCCATAACGACATTACTTTATAGTGAATTCCAGTGTATTAGATTTTGAGAAATATAATTTTTTTCTGAAAAACTAGAGGAAAATCAATATTTTAGTATGACATCTTACAAAACTACTTCCTTAAAGTTTCATGTTTCTTTACTTAATATCTTATTTATAGAAAAATATATAAAAAGCTCTTTTGACTGTTTTTAGTCTTTCCATAAATATTACACTATTGTTTTATCTTATTAATATGTTTTATTATATTTGTTGATTTGATGAAATTGTGGTTTTTATTGTATTAAACTTACCATGGCGTCTTAAGATCTAGTTGTTGGCTTTACAATTTCAGGAACTCAGCTTTATACATGCAGCCAGAATTACCAATCTCTAGAGAAGGGGAAATTCACTAGTAAATTAATTTGAGACTTAATTTTGTGTCAGAAAGTTGTGTCAGAATAACAATGTTATAAATACATTATAACATTATAAATATTATCTAATTACTGGAATGGAGAGGTAGATTTTTGATCCCCCAAATTAAAAAAAAGTAAAAAAGATAGCTTAATATTCATAGAAAATAAATACATATGATTTATCTTTTGAACTGGACCAAACTACTTGCATTCTAAGAAAAACAAAAATATCCTGTTTGTAAAAACTGTTGAAAGTGGACTTTGCGAAAGATCAAATTGCTACCAATCAATGAAGTGGAAATCTAGCCTTTGCCCAATGATCAAATCTCAAGCCAATCTATGAAGTACAAATCTAACCTGACTTCATCTAGAACCAATGAATTCTTCTATTTTTATTTAAGATAACCTACCTCATCTTCCTCCATTTTCCCCATAAAAACCCAAGCTCCTCACCTGTGGAGTGGGGGATGGGCACAACATGCTATTTGGGCTCCTGCCTAAATCTGTACTCTCTAAATTGCAATTCATTTGATCCCAAATAAACACTTTTTATTCGACTATTGACAGATGTTTCAGAGAAACTTCATTTGAGACATGAAGACAACACATTGTTCCTAGCTTTAATTTTCTGATACGTTAGGAGGCTCATCACTGTTCTCCGTGTGGGGTAAAAAATGTATTAGAGTTTTTTAGTACTACGTATTACTTTGCCTCAGTTATAGTTAGTTATGTAATTCCATTTTAGAAAATTATCCCAATTCACTAAAACAAAATTTATAAACCATAACTGAAGATATATTCATTTTGGAAACATATTCTCACCTCCATTTTTAAAGTAAATCCTAGTTATGGTATCAAAAGTGACAATTCCTAAACTAATATTTATACTTTAAAGCTTTGTTGTGTCTGGGACTTAAAGTCAATCATGATTTAACTGCACACATATATACTTGATCTTTTAACTATTCAAAGAGGCAGACACATTTTTCTAACAATATATTGTAAAATTATTTTTTTTTATATTAAGGCAAGTAGATTGCTTTCATATACATCTTGCATATTACTGTCAAGATCACTAGATTTGACCTGTAGTTAGATGAGCAAAATTAAATGAAACGTAGTCTGTAGGCTTATTCATGGCTTTGGTGATAGGTAAGTTAAATAGGTTGAGTGGAGTGATTATTTTACAATGTATATATGTATATCAAAACATCAAGTTGTATACTTGTATACCTTAAATATATAAAATTTATTTTAAAATAATTTTTACCTCAATAAAGATAGAGGAAAAGGTATAGAATCTCTTTAGAGTAGTTATAGAAGGCATTCTCACAGAATAACTCCCTTTAGTAATAATTCAGATATATATAAAATACTTAATTGGTATAAACTACCAGTTAATGACTATCAGTGTCTTCATACTCAATGGGTATAAAATTGAGCAGTAGAAAGTTTTAAATTAAAATTGGATATTTACAATGCTTTCTTTTTCTGTAGGCATTATTTTTTAGAGAAAATCCAAGAATTTTACTCAGCTTCAGGTTTAAAATGGCTTAGTATTTGTCTACATGGCTAGAAAACTGTCTGTTCTTATCAACAATAATCAAATTGTGTGATTCTCTAAAGAGAACTATGGCCAGTTGATGAGGTAAATCAATGATAGAATGGATTGCATGTGTTGGTTGCACTGAAGAAGCAAGTATTATTCTGAAATATAGTTTGAAAAGTGTGGTTTATCTTAGATCATTCTTTGGAATAGGAAGATAATGATTTTTATTTATTTATTTATTTTAACTCTGGTTAGCTGAAGACTGCTCAGTCTTAGGCTAAAAAAAATTGAGGAAAACATTGATTATTTTCTAAAATAATACGTTAATTTTTTTTTAATAAATAAAGACTAAAGCATGGAGAGACTAATGGAAATCTTCAAGTAGAAAAGAGCCTGTTAAACAGATATATAAATAATGATACTCCATCTATAACACTTCTATTAAATTATAATCTTCCCTCTACTCAACGTTCCCTCTATTGAAGTAAACCATTCTTTTTCTCAGACTATTTAAAAGGATTAAATAACTTACCAATGACCCAAAAGGAAAATTAGTATTATAATTATTACATATTAATTCTAAATAATTCATCCCAATAAAGAGTAATTATGGAAAATTAATTTTTAATACTTTAATTTCACATACTATATTGACTTGAAAGATGTAATAGTTTAGTTTTGGACTGAATAAAAAAAAGAGCCATTAATTATTTTAATAATACCT